AATTAGAAAAATGTAAAGTTCATTTGCCTCATAGATTTATTAATATATTTGATGAAAAAACAATTAAAGAATTAAATAAAAAAGATTTAAACTTAATTATTACTGAAATTAAAACATTCAAAGATAAAGAAACTGTTTTAGTTAAATTTGTATAAAAACTACTCATTAAATTTTAAAATTTTACTTGTTTTTAAAAACATTTTGTTTTGTACTCAATTTTATGGAAAATATAGACATATTCATGAAAATTTCATCAAAATTATATACTTTTTCTAGAAAAATATGAAAATGTTAGAAATTGGCCTAAAAGAGGCAAAAATTTAACATATTAGTATTGAAAAACAACAAATTTCATTAAATTATTAAAGTCTTCCTTTTTTGGTCTAGGATTGGTACATTACTATCTACTTATATAAATATATATATATACGTCCGTGAACGCGATAACTTGAGTAATTTTTGTCCGATTTTGATGAAATTTGGTTTAAAGGTGTAAAGCGGGATAAACTTGAATGAGTTCGCGAACCAGCACGATCGGACCATGGGAACGGGGCTTTACAGGGGGTTTTATGGGGTAAAAATTGGTTTTTCTCACTTTTGACCCTCAAAACACAAAATTTCCCAATTTCTCTTTAAACCTTTTTAAAGAGCTTAAAAAACAAATAATTTAGTATATAAAAGTATTTTTGTTCGAATATTAGTAACGGAGAAAATTAAAAAAATTGTAAATTTAAAATTCCCATGTTATTCTTATGGAGAAAATTGTCAAATGTTGTAGTTTGCTTGTTTATGAATATATTTTGATCAAATTTTAACTTGGCAAATTTATTTATTTTGTACTAAGCTATCAATATTTTACTCAGAAACACACTTTATTAGTTTCCTTGTAGCAGCAAACCTAGGTACTCGTTAAACCTAATGTTATTAAAATATATTTAACTGAAAATCAATTCAGACAAATGGAAATTCGCTTAGTCGGCAGGTTTGCTGCGGCGGGGGTATTTTTAAATATAGTTAATTAATTAATACTGGGAAGCTATTTAAAATTTAAAATACTTTCTAAATGTAACCACAGAAAATCCCTAAAAATCTCAATGGAACACTTCATTTAAAATAAAGTCAAAGGAACAAAGTAAACAGGAGTAACTTAAGAATCCAATTTTCCCTAAGATCCAGACAGCTTAGTCCTGATTCTCTAACCTTAGTCTACTAATATATTGCACGTCAGAGTCAATTAAATCCATTCTCAAATCCATTCTCTTTGTTTTGTGAAATCTCGTTTTTAGGAACTAAAAATAAATATCTTTTTACTCGAAGATCATAGTTACTTAATTTTTATTAAGAATTGAAAAAATCTGACTAACTTAAAGTTTGGGGGTTGTTATTATTTTTGTTTTATTGGGTTATATGTTTTCAATAAGTACAGAATAATAGGTTTCGCATTAGAAATCATTAAATATTTTCTTGAAATTCTCGTATACAAAATCCGGTATGAATGGAATAAAAGCATTACGGCTTCAATTCCTGTAATATATAAAGGTCCAAAATCCCCTATCGTCAAAAAAACACATTACAAAATATATGAAACGTATTGTGACGTCATCAAAATTAAAAAAAATATATTTTTTCAACTTCGGATCGAACGTATTTAAAAACCTTATGAAATGATTATAAAAGACATTTATTTTACAGTTTCCTTTTCAAACATAAAAATGCCACTGATGTAGAAACACACGAATAAGAAATACACGGAATGTTTTGGTAATTTAATAAATGTACCAATATGTTAAAACTATTTTTGACGTACAAAATTAACAATAATAGAATACAACACTAATGTATCAATGCAAACCAAATTTTGAAGACAATCCAACGCAAATCAGCTGTCAAACGTGGTTTTATCTAGCAATTTATGGCCAAATGCATCAACATAGGACAAAACGTAGTTGTAATATTTACCAGCCTGACAATAAAATATTATTGTCAGAATAGATACAGGGTGGGGCAGGGAAGTATCCCTAATTTTGAAGGTACATTTAAAGACAACCAAAAATGTTAGAACCAAACTTTTTATTGAGATTAAAAGGTCACGTCTGGGAGTTTATTTTAATATAACTTAGCTTGGTTTTAAACAGCATATCCTGCAAGTGGTGTCCCTAATCTTAAATGCATTGCTATATTCTGGTTCTGGAGCTCATAATAACTTTGTGGAGCATTTGTTGTGGAATGCGGCAAAATTCAGGGTGAATTGCATCCTTTAAGGCATCTAGGGTCTTCCCTTGAACTACCCTAGGCTTAGCATCACTCCAATAGAGTACATGCTGATTTACCGCTCCAGAAATATGGAAGTGTGCCTCGTCACTAAACAAAACCCGAGCAGCATTAGGTAGTCCCGCAATTAAGATTTCAAATGCCTGCGTTCGTTTGTTGCCAGTCCCGTTGTGTGAGTTCATGAGCAACTACCCTCTTGTATAGATGGAGGTGTAGGTCGCCATGGAGAATACGAGGCACAGTATGACTAGAAAACGCCAGCACGGATGCATGCTTACAAGCAGAACTTTGAGAAGACTGCTAAATCGATCTTCTGACAAGGTCAATGTTTTCAAGACCCCGGACGGTTCTTTGAGCTCCAAATATCCTCCAAATACACGAAAGTAATTCACCCACACCAAATTGTAACAGCTTTGCGACAGGCCAGCCGATAACAAGTTTGCAGCAAACGGTAGCTGCACAGCAACAATAGACAGATTTTTGAAAAAAAAAACATCTCGAATGCAAAAGCACATTGCTCACTCGAACAAGCCATGTCTACTACTGAAAGTGATATTCTTAGAAATTCCCAAAACAATAGCTTCATTTGAGCCTAACCCCATTCCTCCAGCACACTCCCACTACTCACAGTGTCATCTTAAAAGTAGGGATATTTCCTTGCCCCGCCCTGTATAAGGCATTACAAATCACACATAATCGGTCTTATAATCATACTTGTTATTACCAAATGGTAGTTGTTCATGTTATTGCAACAGTAATTATGAGTAGACCATCTACTCATAAAAAGCATACTCAAACATTTGTTTAAGAAAGTGCTAATAGATTGCACTTTCTTAATATTATATATATACTAGCTGACCCGGCGAACTTCGTATCGCCTAAGTTATAGGTTTCCCCTAAGACAAGACCGATGGAAAGAAAGTACCGTTACGTTTAATTTTCAAGATGATCTCGTTCGCATCGCTCAATCACGTCCTGGTTGAAGTTCGTTCGCTACGCTCACTCACCTTTGGGTTGGAGCTCGTTCGCTACGCTCACTCACCTTTAGGTTGGAGCTCGTTCGCTGCGCTCACTTGCCTTCAGGTTAGCTCGTTCGCTACGCTCACTCGCCTCCAGGTTGAAGTTCGTTCGCTACGCTCACTCACCTTTTGGTTGCAAATTAGCTGTTGTCATAAATGTAAAAGAAATAATAGTGCTGCACCCTGTTGGTAATCCTTGTAACTTTAATGCTATTGATGAACATCATAGAACAGAACCAACTTGTTTAATTGAAACAGCTGTTAAGATTCATTAATTCCATTTCTCATAAGGTTAACATGGGAAACTCCAGAACCACTGGGGCGGAGCCCTTTTAAGAATTTCGAAACGGGAAATAGTTTACGTCCGATTCGCATACTTACAGAATTTACACACCAAATTTCATAACGATCGGTGAAGTCGTTCCGGAGGAGTTTGCAGACAAACACTGTGACACGAGAATTTTATATATTAGAAGAATTAATACGCAAGCAGTTTTCTTTTCACAGCCATAACTCGATAACGGCTGGTCGAATAATTGGAAGTAGGTCAGTAATTCGGGAAACATATTGTGACATTAACTATATATTGATACCTTTCGTTTTCGTTCTTTTATTAGACTACAAGTTACAGTTTTGCTTTATTTAGATCAACAGGTTATCTAGTTATATTAAAAGCTCTTTGTATACGTGTTGAAATCCTGCAAACTGTATTACTTTAAACCGAAAAATGTATATGTAAGATTTCTTTTAAGTATATTTTATAAAGACCGACTAAGGAGACTAGGAAACATCTTGAACATAAATTAAAAATACAATTTAAAGTTGCTCGCCGCAGCACAAACTTAGTTTCTTGATCACCAACTTCCTGGGGTAATCTTAATTGCTTTGAATGTGATATTTTCCCACGAAACTAGAACGACAATAAATTTAAATTTTTGTATACATTAAATCTTGTATTTTTACTGGCTCAGCCAAATTATATTACAAATTAAAGTTTTTAAAAATCAAAGTACCAGACACAAATAACTCGCTAAAAAAATTGAATCTAATCTGTTAAATCTTTCCCAAAGATAAACAAAGACTATATTTTTCTACAAGCAAATGCAATAAATAAATAAAGGGTTGAACTACTGTTCAATATCTGAGAATAATAAAGAGGAAAATACAATTGGTACATTTTGGTTGTAGAATCTCCTTGATGTGGGTCAGAACTGAATTTTATTCTCTTTTAGTTATAAATAGTTTGTGGAAAACAATGGCATCATAAAATTAGCTGCACTAGATAAAAAGGGAAACAGGAGTGTACTACCTTTTATGAATGAAGAATGTTTACAAAATATATTTCTAATGAGGGAAAAAAGCTCATGTAGAAAATATAGCTTTCTTATGATCAGCGACGGCAGAAAATTTCACTAGAGGAGGTACAGTCAGATAAAGGAAATTAATACTTTTGGAGCCCATGTATTTAATTAAACTAAACGAAACTAAGTAGAGTCTACTTTAGTACAAATGTGACCTTTGGGTTACACAACTTTGCTAATTAAAATGCCACTAATTTAGTTACATTTAGTGACTTATTAGGCCCACATGATCTAGTTTTTAATTTATTTATTTTAATGTCTTAAGTTGTAAACATTTGTGTAAGTGCCAAAAACAGGTAAAGATAATATCCTCTTGAAAATGATTGAACAAAACTTTTATTTAAAATCTTCATTTTTCCATAATATCATTCCTTTCATCCCTTTTCCCATCTTCCATCCCTTTTACCCTTTTTCCCTCCTTCCATCCCTTTTTCACTACTTCCATCTCTTTTACCCACCTTTCATCCCTTTTACCCTTTTCCCCTCTTTCCATCCCTTTTTCCCATCTTCCATCCATTTTCCCTTTTCCCTCCTTCCATCCCTTTTTCCCTTCTTCCATCCCTTTTCCCTTTTTCCCCTTTTCCCCATCTTCTATCCCTTTTTCCCTTCTTCCATCCCTTTTCCCTTTTTTCCTTTTCCCTATTTTCCCTTTTTTCCCTCCTACCATCCCTTTCTCCCTTCTTCCATCCCCTTTCCCTATTTTCTTTTTTTCCCTTCTTCCATCCTTTTTCCCTATTTTCCCTTTTTCCATCTTCCATCCATTTTCCCCGTCCTCCATCACTTTTACCCTTTTTCCCTTCTTCCATCCCTTTTCCCTTTTTTCCTTTTTCCCGTCTTCCATCACTTTTACCCTTTTTTCCTCCTTTTATCCCTTTTCCCTTTTTCCCGTGTTCCATCATGTTTACCTTTTTTCCCTCCTTCCATCCCTTTTCCCCGTGTTCCATCACTTTTACCCTTTTTTCCCGGTTTTCCTTTTTCCGTCTTCCATCCCTTTTTCCCGCCTTCCATCCCTTTTTCCCGTCTTCCATCACTTTTACCCTTCTTCCATCCCTTTTCCCATCTTCAATCCCTTTTTCCCGTCTTCCACCACTTTTATCCTTTTTCCTTCCTTCCATCCCTTTTCCTTTTTTCCCATCTTCCAACCCTTTTTCCCGTCTTCCATCCCTTTTTCCCGTCTTCAATCAATTTTACCCTTTTTCATTCCTTCCATCTCTTTTACCCACCTTTCATCCGTTTTACCCTTTTTCCCTCCTTCCATCCCTTTTATCCTTCTTACATCCCTTTTCACTATTTTCCCTTTTTTCCCATCTTCCATCCCTTTTCGCCGTTTTCCATCACTTTTACCCTTTTTCCCTCCTTCCATTCCTTGTTATTCTCCTTCCATCCCTTTTCCCTTTTTCCCATCTTCCATCTCTTTTTCCCGTCTTCCATCACTCTTACCCCTTTTCCCTTCTTCCATCTCTTTTCCCTATTTTCCTTTTTCCCTTCTTCCATCCCTTTTCCCTTTTTTCCTTTTTCCCATCTTCCATCCCTTGTTCCCGTCTTCCAACATTTTTACCCTCTTTCCCATCTTCCATCCCTTTTCCCTTTTTCCCATCTTCCATCCCTTTTCCCTTTTTCTATCCCTTTTTTCCTTCTTTCATCCCTTTTCACTATTTTCCCTTTTTCCCATCTTCCATCCCTTTTTTCCCGTCTTCCATCATTTTTACCCTCTTTCCCATCTTCCATCCCTTTACCCCGTCTTACATCACTTTTACCCTTTTTCCCTTCTTCCATCGCTTTTTCCCGTCTTCCATCACTTTAACCCTTTTTCCCTCCTTCCATCCTTTTCCCCTTTTTCACTCCTTCCATCTCTTTTACCCACCTTTCATCCGTTTTACCCTTTTCCCTTTTTCCCTCCCTCTTTTCCTTCTTCCATCCCTTTTCACTATTCTCCCTTTTTCCCATATTCCATCCCTTTTCCCTTTCTTCCTTTTTCCCATCTTCCATCCCTTTTTCCCGTCTTCCATCCCTTTTTCTCGTCTTCCATCACTTTTACCCTCTTTCCCTCCTTCCATCCCTTTTTTCCTTCTTCCATCCCTTTTCACTAAATTCCCTTTTTCCCATCTTCCATCCCTTTTTCCATTCTTTCTTTTTCCCATCTTCCATCCTTTTTCCCATTCTTTCTTTTTCCCATCTCCCATCCTTTTTCCATTCTTCCATCCCTTTTCCCCGTCTTCCATCACTTTTACCCTTTTTCCCTTCTTCCAGCCCTTTTCCCTTTTTACCCTTTTTCCCATCTTCCATCCCTTTTTCCCGTCTTCCATCATTTTTACCCTTTTTCCCGTTTCCCTTTTTTTCCTCCTTCCATACCTTTTTCCATCTTCCCTTTTGTGAAGTTGAAAATTTGAAAGTTGAAAATTCCTTTTTTTTATTAGGGGAGACAGGTTGTGCACTATACAATTGAACAAGATTTCAGCCCCGTCACCTCAGTAGTGTTTGAGTTCACTGAACAAACAGATAGGTACACAAATAATACTGTATATTGTTCATACGTTTTACAACCAAAGTTTAACAACGATAGTAAAGTTAACTGGTTAACAAAGATTCCCAAAATACCCAAATTAGGTGGAACACAAAAACAAAGAACTAAAAACTGATCGCAAAATCTGAAAACACTTAAATAGATGTCGACGCGAGCCTCAAACTCAGCTTGATATATTCCGAGTTGTAAAGAACGAACAAAGTTTTAGTAGAGGCAATCTTCCCCAGCTCAGCAATTACAGTTGAATTATTACAACAATCGAGAGGCTTTTGCCGAAATCTTCTTTGCAGAGTTTTACAGCTCAAATCAACTTAACAATCGTATATGTGTCTAAAACGGAAAAAAAATTAAATTCTATAATAAACTGTTTGTTTTAAACGCTTAAGTTTTTTTCATCCATTTAAACACTGGCCGGAGGATTTTTTTACTCTCTAGAATAATAGTTAATCGTTTTAATTAGGGTTTTATAAACGTTCATAAAAAAGAATACGCATGCATTAGAAGATCGATTAATTTATTTTGTTAGAAATCTCTTTAGTTAATATTAATAACTGCTAAAACAGTAAGTTGTTGTTTTCTAAGTATAAAATTTAAAAAAAGTTTTAATGCGTTTCCCTGCCATTTTTATTATAAAACCAATTTCATAGTTTTGAACCGCTGACACCTAATTCTAAAGTTGAATTAATTTTTTTTCGTACTTTGTGGCAAGTCGAAAACAATTAAGATTTAGGCCTAAGTGTCTTCTTTATTATTTTATTTTTACAGATTTAATGAAAAATAAATTAAAGTAACATATATTATTACACATAACATATAATTATTTTAAATAGATTTTATAACCAGGCACATTTTATGTTAAGCTATGGCTTATCACACAACAAATTGCCAAGTTGTGTTTGAAACAAATTTTACCAAATAAAGCTGTGTATTCTTTTTCTGAAACTAATATTTTAGAAAAAGAAAGTAAAATAAAAAAATAAAAATAGATGTTATCACAATTGTTGAGAATTATGTAACTGTTTTCTTTAAATAGAGATAAAAATTAATCGTTTACAAGAAACGCCGCAGCCAAACTTCTGCACAATAAACCTTTCAACTCATTTGGAAACAACCAACCAAGCATTCTTTTTAACCCAGTATTTATGCATTTTATAGCTAAATATTCTCATTTCAAGTTCAACTTATAACATTTTCGTTTACTATTTTTTTTTTTAATACTTATGTCGAGTTATTACTTGTATTACAGTAATATTATGGAAAGGCAGTTGGCCCTAATGACACATCTTTGCGTTTCTTATATTTGTTTGATAATTTACATACATTAATAGCGTGTGTTAGTCAATGTGTCATTGTGTGTGTGTGTTTAGAAATTTATTATTTGTATGCAGGTTGCTAGCCTAGTGCAGGTACGGGTTCTAGCCCTGGTAATCCATAAACTTTGTTTAGCCCACTTTTCTTTAAATAGTTTTTAATCCAAAATACCATTTTTAAAATCCATTACTCCAATATATGCTATGTTTCATATAGTTATCTTTGAATGATTATTCATAAACAAGCACATGTATACAAAGATTACGATTCATTATTCAAGACATTATATTGTTTTGTGTTCTGGGCAAAGGTAAGAAGAATACTCAACAAAGAATATTCTTTGTGTTTGAGTTTTGCTCCCACCATTAAGTTAAATTTAATTACTTTGAACATTTGTTGTGGGACAAACATTGTATAACCCAAACTTTAACTTATGTTCTTGGCATTTACATGTCATTACCTACCTTCAGCATTGTTTTACCCAAACGTAAATCATAACATATATATACAAATATATATAAAACATTACTCTTTAACTTATATAATAACAAACCGTCTACTAGTTATCACTTCACCTTTCTTAAGAAGCAATTTAGAACCTGTCTTGTGCAGAAGATTACTGCAAAGTATCCATTCTACCCCCTTCATTGTGGTTCTTTTAAATTAATATTACGTTTAGTGAAAGCAATTAAGCTGTTTTAAATCATTCACCCGCAATCCATGTTTCTTTCTGAGGCCGGTGTGGAACAACTACGGTTAATGAAGGCAATAAGTTTTGTTTTAAATTGATCTTGGCTAAGTCAATGAGGCCTCACATCTACTATTTTATTTCCAACAGATTCACCAAATTTTTCTAACTTTCGTCATAACTAAATAGTGAATGCGTTGCCCATATTATGTTTGTGAAATTTATATTAGAGTTATTCAGTAAAAAGAATTTTAAAACAAACAAAAAACTCAATGAAAAATTACTTTATAAAATTCCCGGTGGGACCTAACTCAAAATTTAATTCCTGTTAGGGGGGATCTTGATGAATACTTTTACGAGTCAAATTGGGTGTTTTTTCCAAGTTAGTTGTTGATATAAGATGTCAAAAGAAGTATTGTTGTAGTCTTTGCAGCAATTTGCCTAAGCTAGAAACAAATGAAACCACATTCCTCACAAATGACACACCGAGTATACTTAATAAATATTGAATTCTGTAGTCTTTATTGAACATAATGTAAACTTTTCTTTTAATAAGTACATCTCGTCTCACCTTCATCTACTAAAATGAAGAGCTTAAGCTAGACGAATGTTAACTGAGCAAAACTCAGTTAAATTAACACATGCGGAGGCTTAATGTGGATGTGATTGACCAAACAATGTGAAAGCGTCTCAGATCACTTGGCGTTGATTGTCTTTCAAGTGATTCGGTGATTCTATTGTGGCAATATATAAGTGATTGATATCAGACTTGTGAAGGCTGAGAAATCCCCATTTTCTATCCCTTTTCCCTTTTTCCCATTTTCCATCCCTTTTCCCTCCTTCCATCCCTTTTCCCCATCTTCCATCCCTTTTCCCCACCTTTCATCCCTTTTACCCTCCTTCCATCCCTTTGTCCCTCCTTTCCCCAAAATATATGTGATTGATATCAGACTTGATTAAGGCTGAGAAATCCTCTTGGATCTTAAATGAACAACTAAAGTGATTTTATAAACGCGATGAAGGCGTCTCAAAGCGTTTTAAATTGTAAACTATTTTCTGTTTTATTGCATTTGTGTATTAATTTTAAAATTGTATCCGAACCTGGACGTTTTATTGTTTCTAATACTGTAAACTGCTGTGCGTAATCCATATTTTTTTTCCTGTATAACATTTATTTTTACTTTATTGCGTATAAGTTTTTTGAATTTTTTTGTATAATATACACAGATATTATGGTCAAATAATTACTTTAACTTTGAGTTGCTGATATTCATCTCATATTTCGATAGTTGCTTAATGGTATGTTACATTTACATAT